TTCCTTTTATCCGTTCTAACCCGACTGCTCAGCAATTTCATTGCATGCCCACGAGTTCTTGTATTGTGAGAAAGGGAGAAAAGTACCTTTTTTTTACCTGCTCTTTCCCATGCATAATCTTATAAACCTCAATCATGCCACTCCTCAGTCGTCGTTTCTCCAAGCTAAAGAGCCCTAAGCGCCTTAACCTTTCCTCATAGGGAAAGTATTCCAACCCTTTTATCATTCGAGTTGCCCTTTTCTGCACTTTTTCCAAAGCTATAATATCCTTTTTAAGGTGTGGTGACCAGAATTGCACACAGTATTCCAAATGAGGTCGCACCATTGATTTATATGGGGGCATTATGATATTGGCTGATCTGTTTTCAATACCCGTCCTAATAATCCCCAGCATAGCATTTGTCTTCTTTATTGTAGTCACACACTGTCTCGACATTTTCAGTGAGTTAGCTACTACAACTCCAAGATCTCTCTCTTGATCAGTCTCTGCCAGTTCAGACCCCATCAACGTGTATTCATATTTAGGATTTTTGGCTCCAATTAAACATTAAACACTGAGCTTTGGGAATTTGACCTCAGGCCCTTGCCCTTGGCCAACCCTCACTAACTACTAACTAACCAGCCTCACTAACTGCTATAAGGGGGGTAGCTGCATGCCTTCCCTGAACTCCAAGCGGGGATTTTGCTGCTTGGAGATCAGGTGCGGGCAGCCCCCACTAGGAAAACTGGGATTTAAAGGGTTCCATTTAAATGACGTTTCTCAAGCAGGGGCTGCCTGCACCTGAAGTCCAAGTGGCAAAATCCCCGCCTGGAGTTCAGGGAAGGTGTATGGCCAGCAGCCGCCCCTCTCCCTCATCGCCTGCAAGATTTAAAGGGCCTGCTGATCAGATGGAGGGCTCTTTAAATCTTGCAGGAGTGGAGCTGCAAGATTTAGGATGAGGTTCATCTGGTGTTGTAATAATTTTAATTTTGACTTAGTTTCTTCAGTATCTCCACCCTTCTTCAATTTGTCTTCTTCCTGTTTGACTTGGTTTACCAGATTTATATATTGAATTTTCTTTTGTTTTTTCTCCCAGGCCTCTTCATTGATGAACCACCCTTGTATAAAGCCCTTAAATGCTTCTCAGACTGTCTGAATTGATATCTCCGGTTGAACATTTCTTTTGAAAAATTCTTTAATTTCTATTTTGGCTTTTTCTACAAATTGCTCTTTACATAACAGATTTTTATTCCTATATCATCTTATCTTTTTCTGAGTTTCCCGAAGTGTTAACCTTATTGGACTGTGATCCGCAAATTTGTTAGGAAGTATTTCTATTTCTTTAATTTCATTAATTAAAGTTGTTGAGGCCCACACCATATCAGTTCTTGACCATGAGTTGTGTCTATTTGAATAAAAGGTAAAATCTTTTTTCCCTAAATTTCTCACTCTCCATAGATCAACTATATTTTGTTCTTCCGCTAATTCCAAAAATGATTTTGGTAGTGTATTCCCCTCTCTCTCGTTTTTCCTTAAATTCTATTTACTTCTGGATCAAATACCGCCTTAAAATCACCAATAATACATAGTTCATCAGATGTTTGAGATGCCACCATATCTTGTATCAAATTGTAAAATTTCTCCTAGTTTTGGTTAGGAGCATATATGTTTACTATCAACATTTTTTTATTTCCTTTGGTCAAGGCAACAATTCTTCCATCTGTTGATGTATATATCAGTTCTGGGTTTAAATCTTCTTTGGCGTACATGGCAACACCTCTTTTCTTTCTTTCGTCGGCTGCATAAAATACAATTCCTGTTTTATTTGAATTTAAATATTTTACATCTGTTTCCTTATATGAGTCTCTTGTATACACATTACCTCAGCTTTTAATTTGTTTAATTGTTTAAAAGTCCTTTTTCGTTTCTGAGGGCTATTTAAGCCATTCACATTAACTGACAGAATATCCAATTTATTCCTTCTTTCCATTTTTTTAGAGATCTTATTTAGTCTTCTTGCTCTATAACGGGTAAGAACTTGCAAGGAGGTAGTGTTTGCTCTCCTACGCCCTTTATTCTCTCTCTTCCTTTTCTCCTCCTCCTTTTTGTGATCTCTAGGTTCTTCCTCTACTTCACGTCCATCTTCATCTCCTTCCTCTTCCCCTCCAAACTTCTCCCCGTGTTTCTCTAAGAAATTCTGTGCTTTAAATATGGAGTTGATTTTGTACCTTTTTCCTTCATGATTAAACAATAGACCCTTGGGGAGAAGCCATCTGTAGGGGATCTCACCGGAGAGGACTCTCTGTCTGAGCAAGGGGCGGCAGCCCCAAAATTTCCCTAATTCTCCAAGGAACATCTTTTAGAATCTTAATCACCTTATCATTAATCATAACTGTAGTGTCATTAGAAGCCTTTAATATTTTATCTCTCATATATTTTCTGGTAAATTTGATGTGAACTTCCCTCAGGGTTTTGTGTCTCCGTGCATACACCATATTTTTCCTGTAAATCACATCTATTTCTTTTTCCACCTCATCATATGTACCTAGTTTTAATTGTTCAGACAGTTTTTGAATTAGTTCTTCTTTTAGATTTTTCCCCAAGTTTTCAGGTACATTTTGACATCTAATGAGTAGAACAGCTTTATCTAGTTCCAAATTCATCAAAGTTTCTTCAATTTTTTCTGTTTTCTGTTTTAACTCATATACCTCCTGATCTACCTCTTGTAATTTTTCATCAGTGTTATTACAATCTTTGACTAGTTTTAATATTTCTTGTTTATTTTCATTAATTTGCTTTTTTATCTCTTCAGTATCTACTTTCATCTGCTGAGATATTTCTATAATATTTTTTTGAATTGGTTCTAATTCTTGTTTTATCATTTCCCCCAACCTTGTCTGTAAAGGTTCCATTTCTTAAGTAATTCCGGTAATGTAGAGTCTACTATATGTTTGGTGGTTTGCTCCACAATTTCTTTTATTAGATTTTTTAGATCCTTGTTTTGCATTTGTCCTGCACTCATTGCATTGAGTTTAAGTTGTGTCTGGATACTGGTTTGCCCTGGGGAAGTTAGAGAGCCTTTCCTGGTTCCACTACTACCTGAAGCCATCTAGAGTACAATCTTTGTGAAACCTCAAAAATTAGTGCCTGTTGTAAACCATCTAGTCTTCTTTGACCATTTGTCTGTTACTATAAATATTAAACCCTCCTTTGCTTATAACAAATACCTACGTTATACATTTGTTTTCACAATAAGCCAATAGGTTTAAACTTATATCCAGTCAAGTCCTTTTGTAGTAGACAATTCATTCTTAAATCCACACTGTTAAGTCTTGAGTCAGCCCTGATCGTTTGCTTCAACCACTCTTCCCATCTCTGGTCTTGGGCAACTCCGTTGTTGTCTCTGCTCTGTTATGTTCTCCGTCTGCCATTCCCTCTGGGTCCTGTGTCCCGCCTCTTCGTGTCTCTATTATGCTCTCTACTGTGCAGTTGCAGATCCTCTCAGCCTTTTTCTTTGAGCCACGGCTTCTCCTCAGACACCAAATTCCGAAATAGGGGGAGAAAAAAAGAAAAGAGAAACAGGTGTAATTGTATTATCTGGTGCTCAAGACTTTAATAAGGTGGTTATATTTTAAATATTCAGTTTGCTTCTTTAACCCACCTCATTACGTGCTTCTATCTATCTTGTATTATGCTAATGGCCACCTTAAAGGGAACTTGTCCCGAATATTTCCCTTTGTGCTGTTTTGTACGGGGTTAATTTAATTTCTTAACGGTCCTGATACTACTATGCCCAAAATAGAAAGATCAGTAACACTTAGCTTCAGTTATTGTTATGGTATGATAACGCTAGAAGACTCCAATTGGTCCCATAGGCTCCATCTTGTGCTCGCCGTCTGTCGGGCATCCTTGTTAGCCTTCTGCTTCAAGGCAGCCCCAGCTCCCCAAGACGGTTGCCTGCCTATCTTGGGTATGGGGAGAGAGCCTCTTGCTTTCGGTCTCCCCCTCCGAGGGAGTACCAGCAAGGGGGGAATGAAAAAGACCCCTAAAAGACTAAAAGAAATAAAGTGGGCGAGCAGCTGCCACTCTCGGTGAAACTGAAACCAGATCTCTGAAATTTTCTGTGTTTTCTTACACCCCCCCCCAGTCAGTGCCATGTTTATATGTTTACACCTCATTCCATGAAGCTAAATGTCTTTTTCTTCTTTTGCATGTCAGAGCTGCTTCCTTTACTATCATGTTCCTACAAGGTTCTCCTTGGCCTAAAAGGTCACACTGAAGGAGGGTTGGCAGATCTCCCTTGGCCACCTGCAGAGGATGGGGGGGGGGAAGGGTTGCCAGATCTAAGTTGGAAAACGCCTGGGAATTTGGGGATGCAGCCGTGGGGGGAGGGACCTCAGTAGAGTACAACACCACAGAGTCCAGCCTCCAAAGCATCTGCTTTCTCCAGGGGAACCAACCTCTGTAATCTGGAGATTAGCTGTAATCCCAGGAGATCCCCAGGTCCCACCTGGAGCTTGGCATCCCTACAGCACAAAGAAAACACACACGTGCCTCCCCCCAAAAGCAAACAAAAAACAGAGAAAAGCCAAACACTGGCATCTTGGATGGTCTCGTTAGTGTGGTAAAAATGGAACATGGGAGAGGGGTGTCTTTTGTTTCAAAGGGGTGAGTTAAACTAAACTCCTTTTGCAAGTACCCTAAAATCCAGTGACTCTTCAGCATTATGGCGGCTGAGAGTCGCTACACAAGTGTCAGGGCATGCCCTCCTCCTGTTGTCCCATTATTTCTCAGCTCCGTTTGTGCCCAGACACTGATAGCTGGAAGAGAGCGACTGCTCCGCTGGCCTTGGAAGGCTTTTCATCAAACGTTTCGCCCACTAAGATGTCAGACCAGCCCCTCCCCCCCTCCGAGTAATTCTTTGCTCACCCTAAATAGGCCCTGCGTGCTCACTATGTTCCCTGCTGGGGGATAAAGATAGAGAGATGCTGTCTCTTTAAATAGTAGAGGGTGTTCTCTCTCAGGCCACCATGACATATCTGGGCGTTGGAACGGGGTCTGAATAAACCCGGCCAGCACGAGACCAGCGCTCGCAGTAAAGGGATTGCAACTAGAGAAGGCTCACTCTACGCGCAGAGACTCAGGAGTGGTTTGGGGCAGCTGTTTCTGCTTGGGATCCAGCAACAGGACTTTACGCCATCTGGCTCTCGCTTTCTAGGGTATTCTCACTACCAAGCAAGGGGACTCTCTTTGGCGTTGGTAAGTCCACCTTGAAGACTGCTGGTCTCTCTCGCGGATCTGGAGTTTCGGGGCCTTTTTGCAGCACCGGGTGTGTGTGCGCGCGCGCGCGCTAAGCAGCCTTGGGACTCCAGAATATCGCATCTCGATAGAACGTCACGGCTGTTTGTTAATTCAGATCACCCGCGGCCGCAAATCGCGCGAACAGCTGCCAAAATTCCAGGGGTGGTGGTTGTGAGAAAGCGCGACACGACCGAAAGAACGCGGAGTATAGGAACTCTTTCTCTTGACAAAATGTAAGTCATGGAATTGAAAGAGGAAGTGCTGTGATCGATTTCTGCTTAGAAAAGGGAGGTGGGTGGTTGGGACAGATCGGGACGCTTTGGGGGACGCGCGGGTGAGGGAAGCGGGAGACCCAGCCCTCCTAGTCCAGGAGCGATGTGCTCAACCCTGGAGAGGGAAAAGAGCGATTTTTAAAGTCGCGACAAGGAAACGCACGTGCATGGATATGGGCTGTAGGGCAAAAGCCCGAGGTCTCTTCTGATCAAGATTAATGGGGCACTACTGGGGTCTCCTCGCCCTGTAAAGTCTGCGCGGATAGTTGATAAAAAGAGGACAGTTTGTTTATCCTCGGACAGTGTGGACGATTGGTGCCCCCCAACAGCCCACTGGTGGGGCTGGCCGCCTCATTCTGCTTTCTTTCGAGCCCATTAATGGGTAGCCCTGTTTCCCGGGGCAGCACTGAAAGCCCTTCCGACCGTCAAGACTAATTTATTTCTGAGAAGAAGAGTTGGTTTTATACCCAGCCCTTCGCTACCGAAGGAGTCTCCGAGCGGCTTACAATCACCTTCCCTACCTCTCCCCACAACAGACACCCTGTGAGGAAGGTGGGGCTGAGACAGCTCTGAGAGAGAACTGTGACTGATCCAAGGTCACCCAGCTGGCTTCATGGGGAGGAGTGGGAAATCAAACCCAGTTCTCCACATTAGAGTCTGCCGCTCTTAACCACTACACCTCCTCTTGTCCGTCCTTGAGCAATGAGCATCGCTTTGCTGGGACGAAGCAAGAAGCGGAGTTCAGCGGGAGGCCAGGCTAAGCAAAGCCGCAAAGGTCTAGCCATTCGGTTTCCACGTGGGTTGTAGGGAGCGGTCTGGGGAAAGAAAAACAGGGGAGGGGAGGAGGAAGCTCTTCCGGATTCTGCTTTTGGCGTTGTAGACCCCGTTAAGGCAGGTACCGAGTCCTCCTTTTTCCTCGGGAAAAGTATTTCTCGAGAGGCAGCGTGATAGACACACCCCGCCCGGCGCTCCGCCACAATCGGGGCGTTGTTTCTTCTTAAAGACGAACTTTTCAGCTCCCGCCCCCTACCGGGCTCAGTCGGTCTTGGATTTGAGACGCGCGGGCAGCCGCCTTGGGATCGGAACCGAAGTCTTTCGGGCGGTGGTTACTATTTGGGGGAACAGGCGGCGGAAAGAGGAGCGCACTGTGGCAGGACAGTAAGTAGCTTATTCGGGGTGGGGGGAGCTTTAGCCAAGTGGCATCGCAGACGTTATGCCCTTACGCGTCTTGCCCGTTGCATTTCGGATTCAAGAAATCATCATCGGCGTCCCGTTTAAATCGATTCAGTCGAGCCCTGATCTGTAGGAGCCGCTCGGCCTTCATTCCCGCTTCGGGAGTTTCGCAGCTTCTATGCGTTTACTCCATGGAGGAAAGTGAACTACTCCGGGCTGGGCTGGATATAATTAGAAACGGGTCGAAACTGTTCAACACGTAGGTCTTTCTCCCTCCTCTACTCCCTCCTCCCTCTCCCCGCCGGAATTCTACCCTTTATACAGTCGCTTGACAGACTCGTTTGGAGCGGGAAATGGTATTTAATTTTTTTAAGTACCTTTTTCTTTTCGATCACTTTCACCCCATGGCAAAGACCTCTTTTGTGGTTTTCCTGTTGTATGGCAAGTATCTCCTTATTAGCCCCGGGTTTTCCAGTCTGCCTTTGCCTGGGCCCCTGCTGTCCACCCTCCCTAAAGAATTTGTCTGGCCGTCCACCCACTGAGTCCAACAAGGAAAGCTGCTTTGAAAGACTCTGACAAACCGCTGTGGTGATTTTGTCCCGCCATTTGGGAGTTTCTGTATTTGTCCAAGCAGGTTTGTCATCTTGTTTGGTTGTGGGAGAGCTGGGCTGGGTTAGCTCGAGGGGGCTGCTGGTGGAATGGGGCTGCAAAACGTTGATTATTCAGTGGAGAATGGGGGCTTTGTGGCATAACGGTTTTCCATTCCCTGCTTCCAAGCCATCCGAGCCAGCAGAGGCTTGGTCCAGGCGGAGGGGGGCGGCGGCTGTGTTTTCAAACTTTATTTTAGCTTTACTTTTGCAATCCCTGTTTTTGGCTTTACTTTTGCTTTGAAGGTCTTTCTTAAACACCCCTTCAGAATACAGGTATTTGATTTTTGTCTGCTTGCCGTTTCTGAAGAGAGCCTCTTGACTAAATGGAAACTTTGAGGAATGTAATGGTATTGGGAGTGTCTGCCATACACCAGAAGGTTTCCAAATCTGGGGGAATTGGAATTGAACCCTAAGCAAGTAAATAATCCAAATAGTAAAAATTTAGGGTGAAGTAAGTGGGGAGTTTTGCAGCATTTATTCCAAATCCTTCTAGTGTATTTGACTCCCTTGGCACTAATCACTGCACTTTTCCAAACAACGCCATTTGTTCAGCATCCGGTTTACTTCAAGTATTGTCCTTTTCAGTCGTTCAGACAGTCAAAACTAATTTATTTCACGACGCTGTAGTGCTTTCAGCTGTCCCAGAAAAGAAGTTGCAGACTTTCTCTTTTCTTTGCATTTAGCCTTTTTCTGTTTATGAAGCAGAGACATAATTTCTGAAGGTATTTAGCCTCCTTACACAGCAACTCTGACAGTGTTTATTTTCCATCTCAGCTGCACCCTCTGCTGTTCAGTATTAGAGGATAGGCTTCCCTCCACTGTCTAATCCTAAAAGTTGGCTCCTTTTACCTAAAGGCATTTTTCCTTTCCCTCCAGATCAATCCAAGACCTTCTGCCAAAATGCTTCTTTTGTTGCTGGGGATCATTGTACTGCACGTGTCCGTTCTTGTCCTTCTCTTTGTGTCTACAATCGTCAGTGTAAGTATAAACATCTTTAGCGTCTTGCATTAAACACATAGTGAGCTGTGGTTTAATGAGAGTTAGTATCTGTTTCTAGTTATGTGTTGTTTTTTTTACATCACTTCTATGTAGGTCTGTGGCATTACTTCCAAGTAATGGATCCTTATTCTGCAGTCCCATGGGATACTTACTTGGGAATAAACCCCACTGAAATCATGGAATGTCTGAATAAGTACACTTAGGGCTGGATTGACTATTTCTGATTGTGTCATTGGTACTGTATAAATCCAATTTACTTCATCTGAGAGGAGAAAATGTAGAAATTGAAGCCCAAACTGTTGTGTTCTCCAAAATAGCTTCATTGCTACCTCTGGATCCTGGCTAAAGAGCTTTATTTTTCAAAAGATTATATCTTTGTGTATACGATAATTTTTGCACATCTTTTGCCCATTAAAATGGGTAAATTAGAAACATTTCAGAAGCAATGTGAGCCAGGATTCAGCCTCAGAGATGTTTCAAATGCCAGAAGAATGTGCACTTGAACATGTGCAGAGTATACCCTTGCATACTGAGTAGGCCCAGTCAGCCAATACCTACCCTGTACTGGAAGGAAAAGATTCCTGCAGTAGTGTGCTTGAGTCCCATTTCCAGTTTTTTATTAAAAAATCAAAACACTGCTACTGGATTGTCCTAGGTAGAGAAATACAAACAGCCAAATGGAACTGATTGTGTGAGCAGCTAGCTCAACTCTTGGCAGCCTCATTTGCATGCTCTTCAAGAAAGCCTTATAAAAATACTTCCAGAACTCCTAACAAGTGGGAGGTGAGGTCTGAATGGAATTGGATTTCCCTTCCAGTGTGAGATTTGGCAAAGGTTTAGAGATCCCCCCCCCTTTTGCAACAAAGTCAAAGAAACGAAAGAACAAAGCAGAGATTTTTCTCTCCGAATAGTGGTATATGTGTATTTGTGTATATGTTTTTGGGCAAAAAAGGCCTTTATTTATATGCTTTGCAGAAAGTTTGAGTAAACTGCTGATGAGTCTTCTTTAGCTCATTCCTTCAGAGTTCAGAACTTGGCAAGAATGACCGTGTCTGGTGAAGGTCCCCTAGGAAATGTATCTGATGAATATAAGGCTTTTGCTGGTGTTGAGTTTTCTTTCGGGTTTTCCCTTGTCTTATCATATTATCCTTCTTATTTTTCAGCAATGGCTCACTAGCAATGTGCGCACAACAGACCTTTGGCAGAACTGCACCATGGGACCGGCTATCCCAGATATATTTCATTGTTCAACATCATCCCCAAATGGTGAGGACTTTGGCTGAAAGTGTTGTCATTTGTCAGGACAGTGTTTGTTACCATTCTTCACTGTCCCACCTTACCCCTGTGAAATATTTATTGGCTTGATGTAAGCTGTTAGTCCATAGCTTGTTCTGAGTACAGTTTGGGCAAATTCCCATCTTTTTGGCCATGCCAGTGTGTGCCTTGCAGTGTTGCTAGGGTTGCCAACCTACATGTGAGGCCTGGAGATCTCCTGGAATTACAACAGATCTCCAGACTCCAGAGTTCAGTTCCTCTGGAGAAAATGGCAGCTTCAGAGGGTAGACTTTACGGCATTGTACCCTGCTGAGTTCCTTCCCCAAATCCCTTGGGCTGCACTCCCATCATTTGCAGGAATTTCCCAACTCAGAGTTGGCAACCCTAAGTGTCCCCCTCAACTTTAAGCAAGTTTTGTGTATTAGATCCACATTTTCTCACTCCTTGTCAGACTTTTTGACACCTTCAGCTGCCTGACCTGCATTATGTTTTTGAATGTAGACCTTCATTTGTGATCTTTCTTCACATTTTTTTTTTTAAAAATCAGCTGGCTGGCCTCTTCTTTGTAAGTTTGCAGGAACTCCTGGGATTTGGTTTAGTGCCAGAAGAAAGTTTTACACATGAACTAAATGGCAACAGTCTTATGCATGCAGTGGTTGGTAGCTATATTGGTTCAAAGGCCCTCCCCCCAATCTATTTTATTAGGCACAGCTTCTCCAGCTTTCTTCATTAGGCTATATGTTTCAATAAAGGTGGAGAAAGAGGGGGGGGAAGATGCTTTAGGCCATAATCTTATCTGCATTTTATGTAGAATGTGTTTAGATTTGATTGCTGTAGATTAGGTTCTGGGTGGAGCTGGTATCAAATTGCACCTTAGTTTTCTGCGAAATGATGAGGCTGCCATTTTTTGTTCTGTTTTGTAATATAAAAATCAATAACTATTGGAAATTTATATATGATATTCTGTGCTCGCTTCGGCAGCACATATACTATATGATATTCTGTACTGCATGCTGTATAAACTACCATCTTTTTGACATATGCTTGGAATGGCTTAACCCTTGGAACATCATAGGTGTTTGCTTATATTTTGTAAGTCAGTAGATGCAATAATGTCTATTGAGTAAGACACTGAGAACGAACATAGTCAGGAGATATAGGTTCAAATTGATGCTCATCATGTACTTAGTTGCCCTTGGACAAATCCTTGTATTTCACCTTTAATCTCTGTAGAAATTACTAATAGTGTAAGGGTGAAAATTGAGTCTGTTAAGGAAAATCATGTTGGAAATGTGGTGAAAGGGTCCTAATTTGCCACAAGAGTTCATAAATTCCATGTCTGTACATCTCCAGCAATTACTACAGCATTACTATAGGTAAAGGTTTCCCTTGCTTGAAAGCCAGTTGAATCCAACTCTAGGAGGTGGTGCTCATCTCCGTTTCCAAGCCGAAAAGCCAACACTGCCCAAAGACGTTCCTGTGGTCATGTGGCCGGCATGACTCAACGCCGAGGCACATGGAACACTGTTACCTTCCCACCGAAGTGGTACCTATTTATCTACTTGCAATTTCTTGCTTTCGAACTGCTAGGTTGGCAGGAGCTGGGACCAGAGATGGGAGCTCACTCTATCATGCAGCACTAGGGACTCGAACTCCCAAACTACAGACCTTCTGGTCTGCAGCTCAGAGTCTTAACCTCTGAGCCACCGCAGCTCAGTATAGCATTACTATAGCAGCAGACAAATCTTTGTAAATCTTGTTGCCTTTGTTTTGTTCACACATTTCGTATTAGCTTGTAGCTAAATACTCCAAAGGCTTAGTAACTAGAAGTGCCGCATTCAGCAGTTCAGGAACAAGATAATTCAGGCATCGGTTATTTTGACTTGGTGATCATAAAGAATCCTTTTACTCTCAAAGATGTTTTAACCACAGAATATTTTATCACATATATACTTTATGGTTAATAATATACCTTATGGTTACTTTTCAGTTTTTTGACAGCTTTTGACAGGGTATCACACCAAAGTCTGAAGGTGGGAAATAGCAAGAATGACTGAATTGCCACTTTTCTCAGTGGAGGGAAGTGGGCAATCATCTTTCCTGTTGATCTGGAAATGAGACTGGTACTATTCAATTGATAAGTAATATGGCATCAGACTATTATCCATGATACTAAACATGGAACTTCTTGGTTTGTAAGTGATATTATTCTGATTTTCAGGCACTAGGGACAAGTAGCGGGACAGTTGTCTTCATCATGACTTGCTTGCAAACCGTCTCAATCATGTTCTTCGGTTCAGAGAGCCAGGAGCCCCCTTTTGAGCACCCTATTCTATGCTGCCAGTGGGTTTGCTGTTGCTCTGTTGATGTCCTTTATAAAATGAAACTGTCTACTACATTTACATGGTGGATGTTGCTATCTCTCCCAACTGTCATTCATGTCTCCAGGGTCATAAGCCTTTGCAGGCATTTTAATTATTACAAGTATTCATATCTGTATTACTGCAGATAGAAGGGGTGAGAAGAACTATTTCACCCTATTGCAGTCTTACAACTCATGTGGCTGTTACTCTTATGAGGGTCCCAGAACTGAGTAAAGTTGTCGCTTGGGGTCAGGGGATAAACGCAGTCGGTGTGTCATTTGGTTCTTACTCCCCCGGCTGATCTGAAACCATCATCCCCCTGCTGTGCCCCCGATTAGTATAAATTCACCCTCACAATTCGTCCCCAGGCCCATGCCAGTATACTGGCTTCTTCCTTTACTGGACGGATTTAAAGGGAGCGATCAGACAGCAACATCTGGGAAGCATCCCGCAGCCGTTGGAAACCCATTCTGCTCCACTGCATAAGTGGAGCTAAAAGATACCCGGGAAAATCCGGTAGTAAACGGGTTGCGATGGGCCACGGACGGACTTCCCCCTGTCTGATCGCTCCAGCGTGCTCTCATGCCATCAGGATGGTCTGATAAGGCCATCCCGGCTCCGTGCTGTTGTCCCCCCCCCCCTCTCAGTATGCACATCATCGCAAACTCCATAGGGAGCCCTCAGTGCAGAGGTGCTGTTCATCGATTCCTCATTTAAGTGCATGGGAAACAAACAGCACAAAAAAAACCCCAACTCACCTGCAGTTGCGTCTGATCACACACTGACAGGCTGCGCCTGCAGTTTCAAAGGGAGGTGTGCTCTCACAACTGCGGGTCAGATTCCTCTGGAGGAAATAGCCTCTCCTTCCCGCCCCCCCGTTTTATCTGGTGTGTGTGATGGCAACCTCAGTCACACGAATGTGTTTCCACCTCTGAACATCTCTTGCTTTGAAAACCCTATGGTGTTGCCATAAGTTGGTTGTGACTTGACAGCACTTTCCACCACCAAGAGAGTGCCCCCAACTATTCTTTCTTAAACTCAAAGCAGTTGTGGGAAGCTGCAGTCTGGATTGGAGGTTTATATTGGGGGAGACAGTACTTATCTATTCCCCTGCAGGCTCTTCTTATCATACTTGCCCTCTCCTTTCTGGTTTTTCCCGGGGGACTTTTTGTTTTTCCCGGGGGGGGGGGGGGAGTGCAAATACCTGTGTCTTTCCACAGCAAAATAGTAGCTGGGAGGGTGCATTTTGATAAGAAAAACAGCCATAGGAAAAGAGATAAGAGTCCCCTCTTTCTTATGAGATTACATTCCAGACTGGAGCTCTTTGTAGCTGTTTAGAGTTTCTTTTTAAAAAATTCAGGGAAAACATTCATACTTACACTCTCTTCCTGCAGGGTATTGATATTCAGGGAGGAACAGGCCAAGTTTTCCATCTTCCCTTACTGAATATACTTATTTAATTCTGTTTTCTTTGGTGTACTTCCGAGAAGGGACCATGACTCAGTGGTAGAGCATCTGCTTTGCACGGAGAAGGTTCCAGGTCCAATCCCCAGCATGTCCAGTGAAAAGGATCAAGTAGTAGATGATATGAAAGAGCTCTGCCTGAGACCCTGGAGAAGCACTGCTGGTCAGACTAGATGGTACTGACCTTAGTAGGACAAGGGTCTGACTTGGTATAAGGCATGAGTTCATTTGGGAGCAATTTCTTAACTTGCAGCATGTCTCTGTAAAATCTCCAACTCCACAGGTATGGGAGTCTTGGCTCCATAAAATCAGTGATTTCCGGCATGTATGCTGTGTGTGAACCAATTTGTTACTTTTGACATGTGCTAGAAAGGGTCCTGAGGGAACTTTATGGAGAATTAGGGGTGAGCATGTGGTAGAAAGGGTCCTGTGGGCAGTGTGTGGAAGAACTAGGGGTGAGCTATTCAGTCCAAATAGCTGCCATGCATTCGTTGGTGGGATTTCGTGGCATGTTGGGTTTCAAAGGCTTCTGTCAGTCAACTGTTTGATAATAGAACTGTGGAAGTTCCACACTGTGAGGGATTTTTGCAACAGCTTGCCATTATAACAATAGTGATTTTAACAATGCTAAGAGCAGTACTTCATGGCTTGAATCCTCACTCTGCTGTGGAAGCTTGCTGGGTGACCTTGGGCCAGTCACACACTTTCAGCCTTAGCCGACTTCACAGGTGTTATGAAGATAAAATGGAGAAGAGGAGAATGGTGCAAGCTGCTACGGGGTCCTCATTGAGGAGAAATGTGAGGTATAAACAGAGGCCCAATCTGCTTTACCAAACCCACACTGTTATTTTACCAAACCCACACTCGAACAGAAAAAGATGCAGCTCAAAACCACATTCGGATACCCTGGGCCAATGCCATACTGACTGCAGAGTCACCCCTGAATGGCCATAAATCTATGCAGACAGCACAATAAAACTGAGAGATCAAACGAAGTGAAAGTGGCATGCAGTCTGGACACTGCCATAAAATCCGACAACCAATCAAAGTGAAAGTGGCATGCAATGGAGAGGGGCATTTCTGTTTGAGCGTGGGTTTGGTAAAACAGTGGAGCAAATGCTAGATGCAGATTGGGCCAAAGTAAATTTTTCCAGGAGATGGAAC